GGCTCATCTGGTATGGAGCAGTGGCATTAAACACCGCCGGGGTCACGGGTTCGATTCCCGCCGGGCCCAGTCATGTTATGAATGCATTGCACTCATCGCTTAGTGCGGTTAGATGCCTCGGATAAGACATGACATGTCGGCCTAAAACATTTCGAGGTAGTTTTTAATCTTGCGTAACTATCGAAACCGCGTATAGCCATTGGACACCGGCGGCGGCGCGTCATCGCAGCACCGCCACGAATCAACCATTGAATTATCAACACCGTCACCATCGGCGACCGCCTATGTTCGGCGCTGGCCCTGATAAATGGACATGGAAATGTGTCACTGTTGTATCCTTCTCCCCCCCCCCCCCACCGACAAACCACAAATGCACAGTAGCTGTTTTGTCAGCGTGACGTCAACGCGAGGCAAGCCGGTCGTCCTCGAACAATGGTCCCCGCAGCAGCGGATGAAACAACAGAACCGAGCTCCGCCGACGGTGTTTTTATGCTGATTAGTCACAGTGGTCCAACCCCCCCCCCCCCCCCCCAAAGGGAAGCAGGTGTTTTGGCCGGGTGAGTAACGTAACAAACAAGCAAGCCGCCGGCGTTCGGTGACAGCTCAGGCTCCCTGGAATAACACCAGAGCCGGCGCCTCTAGGGCCTCCCGCCGAGCTCTTAGTCACCGGGATGATGGTGGCGGCGCTAAGAGGCGGCGCGTGTTTCGCTTGCCAAGGATCAGCGGATAACTCGGTTAGTCCATCGACAGAAAATGTGTCGAATCGATAATTCAATTTGTCGTTTAGTTTCGTTCATTCATTCAGTCAAGTACAAATTACCAAACATTCGCTGCTGCTGCTGCTGCTTGATGCTTTCGGAAATTCAAATGTTTGGTTCATGGATCGTTATAAAATTAATACTTTTTTTTTGTTTTTTTTCTTGGCGGCTTGTCAGATAACGTAATTTCGTAATTTATTTACGTCATTTCTCTCAAATGTACGTTGGAAATGTGCAGTTGGAGGACAATAAAGTCTGTCTATACCTGTCAGATGAAGCACTTTGGACTCTGGTCACTCTGGTGACGGCATTTGTTATTATTTATGACATTTTCTAGACTAAATGATGAATAAAAAAAAAAACGACCGTTAGATGAATCATCGATTACGAAAGCAAAAGTTAGTTGCAGCCCTTTCATACTTTCAGAGGAATTTTGTTCTGTGGTTTCTGATGAAGTCATACGTCTCCTCCGCTTGATCCAGCTCCAGCTCCACACCCCGTCGTCGTCTGATAGCCAATTGGAGAGGTGCAGCGGAAGGACTACTAGGGCCTGTGTGTGTGTGTGTGTGTGTGTGTGTGTGTGTGTGTTGGCGTCTGTGTACGTGTGTGTGTGTGTGTGTGTGTGCCAGAGTGTGGGTGTGTGTGTGTGTGTGTGTGTGCCAGAGTGGGTGTGTGTTTGCTGTGTGTGGGCGCGCATGCGTGTCTTCGGGCAGAGCGGTCTCTCTCTCTGTGTGTGTGTAATGGTGTTACGTAAGTCAAACAGAAGAATGTTCTGCTTTGCTGGCATCGCTTCCTCATCCTGCTGCTGCAAACAACAAAAGCCCGTCTGCAGTGCCACGGCGGAAAAAAAAGAAACGAAGGGCGGCTTTCTGGATGTCTCTGTCTGTGAGCGTCTACTACATTTTGGCATTTGAGATCTATAATTCACGAGTTTGTCGCCCCCAATATCGCCCTCATGTCGTCACTATGATTAATGTTCTGCACTCCCTCTGTGAGGAAACGCATTTCTATCTCCGAGGCGCATCCGATTTAGTTTATTGTCCTCCTCGTAGTATATGGCTGCACATGTTTCGGCGTGTGCTTTGAAGCTATAGTGACCGCCATGACCGCCGTCTTCCTTCACCGTTCCCGTCGGTCCCCCCCCCCCCCCCCCCCCCCCTGCGTGACCCCCCCACCCCCCTGCGTGACCCCGCCCCGAACCCCCGACCTCCCGGCCCTCGTTCCTCGCTGACCTCCTCGCCGCCGGGGTCCCCGCATCGCGTTTCACTCTCTGTAAATCCACCCATCACCGCACACCCTCACCTCCTGCCCTCCTGCCCTCCGCCCACCCTTACCCTCCCCTCCCCTCCCTCCCTCCCTCCCCCCCCCCCCCCCCCCCCCACACACACACACTATGCAGAAATGCTTCGGTAAGGGCATCGGTGTCAGAGTCGTTCGGTGGGAGGGCTTCTGCGATTTGTGTTGTTTCGCTTCACCGTGCGAAGCGGCGGTGAGGCTGGGTGGGCGGTGGGGGGGGGGGGGGGTGAGGGGGGGGAGGCTATACTACTACGCGCACACATCCTCGGCTCTGCGTCAGTCGTCCTTCTGACGCATACCATAAAATAAATACACGGCAGGCAGGGAGATACGGAATGAGAAACAGACACAGACACACAGAGCGAGGAAAAAAAACGAAAGACAGAATGAAACGAGGAAAGGAAAATAAATCCAGTTTTTGTATTCTTCCACACGGGCCAGATGTTGTTTTGCAATGGGCAGTGTTAAAAAAAGGAAGAAGAAAAATAACTTTTTTACATTGTTTGAGGCGGCCCAGTGAAACATGTTGCGAGGCGTTCATGCTCCAAGTCCAGTCGACTCCAGTGAAGTGGGATTAATAGCGTTAGTGTAACAATAATTGTGGAGACTGGGCTCTTGTGTGCGGAGCGGACTTGCTTTGCCTCCTTCGCCTCGCGTTTAGTCGTAACCATGGACCGCAAACACACCAGCGACCCATGAATCAAATTAAGTTTTTTAATGCAGTTTGTGCAAATGAACCGCAGAAGTACCCCGAGACCCATGAATCAAATGACATTTTTTAATTCGGTTTATGGAGAGAGAGAGAGAGAGAGAGAGAGAGAGAGAGAGAGAGAGAGAGAGAGAGAGAGAGAGAGAGAGAGAGAGAGAGAGAGAGAAAGGGAAAAAAAGCACAGTGTTCGCCATTGTGGAGTGATGGATCGCCGCTGCCGCACAATAAAGCGATACAGTCGAACAAGTCGAATATCTGGGGCCGCCGCAGAACGGCACGGCGGTTCGGACGGTTCACGACGAAAGTGCCCCGAATCCACCATGCAGAAACTCCCAGGAGAAAGACTGGATACTGGACTCTGTGCCAAGTCTTAAAGGGCCCCTCTTTGCTCTTTTGGGCCTTTTGTTTTTCTCCTCTCGCGTGTTGCAGCTCAGCCCATGTTTTCTTTTCTTTTTTTGGTCTTTTTGAACAAGGCCATCCTATTTGATAGACTCTGTGAAGTAAGCCGGGTCGTAATTCATGTTTTGTCTTCACTCTTCTCCCTCTCTCTCTGTCTCTCTCTCTCTGTTCTTTTAGCAGAGACCCGGTCAACCCCTCTCTCCCTCTCCCCCCCCCCTCCACCACACGCCGCGCCGACCTCCGCCGACCTCCACAGCGATGTGGAGTTGCATGGCGTACAATGAGTCAGACAACGCCAGCGACGCCGACCTCCAGTTCTGCCAGGACTTCGGCCTCATCCTGTCGGTGTTCTCCGTCCTCTACCTCGCCGTGTGCTTCCCGCTGGGCCTGTGCTACAACGCCCTGCTGGTGGCCGTCAACCTCTCCAACAAGGTCTCCATGACCATGCCGGACGTCTACTTCGTCAACATGGCCATCGCCGGCCTGGTGCTCAACGTGGTGGCGCCCGTCGAGCTGCTGGGCCCGCACTTCACGCGCTGGCCCGTGTGGGACTACAACAACGAGGTGTACATCACGCTGCTCATCCTGTTCAACGTGTCGTCGCTGGTCACCATGTACTCCACCACGCTGCTCAGCCTGGACTACTACATCGAGCGGGCGCTGCCGCGCACCTACATGTCCAGCGTGTACAACACCAAGCACGTGTGCGGCTTCATCTGGGGCGGCGCCGTGCTCACCAGCTTCTCCTCGCTGCTCTTCTACGTGTGCAACCACGTGTCCACCAAGATCATCGAGTGCTCCAAGATGCAGAACAAGGAGGCGGCCGACGCCATCATGATGTTCATCGGCTACGTGGTGCCGGCGGCGGCCGTGCTGTACGCCCTGGCGCTCATCCTGCGCATCCGCAAGGAGTCCACGCCGCTGGACCAGGACTCGGCCCGCCTGGACCCGTCCATCCACCGGCTGCTGCTGGCGTCGGTGTGCGTGCAGTTCGCGCTGTGGACGCCGTACTACCTGACGCTGCTGGTGCACACCGTGGTGGGCGCGCCGGCGGCGGCGGCGGGCGGCCACCACGGCGGCGGCGGCGGCCGGGGCGGCGGCGGCGCGGGCGGCCGGGGCTTCACCACGTACTACTTCCTGCGGTGCGTCGCCGAGCTGATGGCGTTCTCCAGCAGCTTCGCCATGCCCCTCATGTACCGGCAGATGAACAAGAACTTCTCCCACAAGCTGCAGCGGCTGCTGAAGAGGCTGCACTGCGGCAAGCGGGCGTGCCCCCGCGAACGCTCTGCGGTGCAGCAGGTGGTGACGTGAAGTGACTCGCCCTTTACCGGCTGATTATGAAACCACCCCCGCCCTGCACCCCCCCCCCCCCCACCCCCACCCCCACCCCCAGTCCCTCTTCAGGCCTAGTCGGCACTTATCTCCCCCCCCCCTCCTCGCACCGCCCTCCCCTCTACAGAGCCAGTATCCTGTTGGGTTCTCCTCCTGCTGCTGCTGCTGTGGACTGTGAGAGGAGCTGACATGGCGAGGAGAGCGGCGTCTTCCTGTGTCGTCACCGTCGTACAGAACTGGATTTGAGCTCTCCACACCCGTCGGGAGTATACAGTATAAGGGGACAGTCGTACCTAATAGCAAAAACCACTAAGTGCTGTTTTGTCTTTCCTTTTCGTCTGTTAGTTATAGGTGAAGCTCCCTCCACTATGACACTCGATCGCCAGAACTGGAAAAGGGGAACTCGACTTGTTGACTTGGTGACACTTTTTGATCTCAGTTCGCCCTCTGCTTTGTTCACGCACACACACACACATACACGCGCGTGCTCTCACACACCCACACACACACACACACAGTGATCACACAAGACAACTGCGTTGAAGGGCCAAATATTTATGTTGTAGTTATGTGTA